TCTTTCTTTCTTTCTTTCTTTCTTTCTTTCTTTTTCTTTCTTTCTTTCTTTCTTTCTTTCTTTCTTTCTTTCTTTCTTTCTTTCTTTCTTTCTTTTTTCTTTCTTCTCTCTCTCTCTCCGCTCCTCTCCTTCTCTCCTTCCCTCCCTCCCTCCTTTCTTTCTTTCTTTCTTTTTCTTTCTTCCCTTTGTTTCTTGACCAGGAGTAAATCTTGGACATTCCCTCACTCTTGCTGTTGTCATTTGCTAAAGGAAAGAACTGCCACTTCTCTCAGAGTGTTGGAGTGACAATTAAAGGAACTATGTGAAAAGTATGTTAGAAACTGCCAAGTACCCTGGGCGTGGTGGCTCATGCCTATAATCCCAGGGCTGGAGAGGCTGAGGCAGGAAGATCCCTTGAGTTCGAGGCCAGCCTGTGCTGCATATATCAAGTCCAGCCCGAACTACACAGTGGGATCCGGTCTCAAAAACACAACATGGTGGTGCAGTGCACGCCTGTAATCCCAGCACTTGGGAGGCTGAGGCAGGAGGATCGTTTTGAGTTCGAGACCAGCCTGGGCTACAAAGTGAGCTCAAGGCCAGCCTGAACTGCACAGCGAGGCACTGTCTGAAAAAACAAAACAAAACAAAACCTGTCAGATGCCAAACACACATGCAGGATTGTTACAATAGGAAACCATCTTTTTCAAAGAATAATCATTCACAAAATGTAATAAGCATAAATTATTGGTTTCTATATTCAAACCACGACTAATTGTAGCCACACTGAGGCAAGAAATAGAAATCTGGGGAAAGCAGCTAATAATTTGGCCTTTGTGGAGGATGCGGAAATACTAATGTCCCATCTCACAGAGGACTGCAGGGCATTTCGGGCGTCCCTACTGCAAGTCCCGGAACTGTGCGGGTCCAGTGGTCCAGCGCCCCTGGGGTTTCTCCTGGTGGTGCCCGGCTGAGCAGGGCCCTCGCCTCCCCGCCACAAAGCCGGGCCGTGAGACAGGTTCGAGAACAGCGGAACGGAGAAAACGCCCGCTCTCGAATGTGCGGGACTCCCGGAATTTTGCCCGCGTGCTGCCGGTGACCGTGCCTTTGGGATTTCCGATGCCTTCCTGGCCGGCAGAGGCTCCGCGGACCCGAGGGAAAGCAGCGGGCTGGGCTGGGAGGGGCGGGGCTAGGCGGGGCGGGGCGGACGGGCCGGGCGGGGCCGGCTGTGGGATCGGAGCGCGTCCCCGCCGCGGTCCGGACGATGTCGCTGCGCAGAGCGGTCGCCAAGACCCTGGCGCTGCCGCTGCGGGCGCCCCCCAGCCCAGCTCCGCTCGGCAGGGACGGTGAGTGCGCCCGGGGCGGGCGGGGGCGCGGACACCCAGAGTGTCGGGGCGTCGGAGTCCAGACCAGGCTGTCTGGGGTCCAGTCCTGACCTCGGCCAGTGTTGTGGTCACCTGTTTCTTCGTCCGCTTAATGCGGACAGTAATAGATGTGAATTTTAAGGAGTTAATTTGTGGTGAAGAACTTGGAGGGACCGTCGTGATGGCGCACGTTTGTAATCCCAGCGCTGTGGGAGGCTGAGGCAGGAGGATCGCAAATTCGAGCCAGCCTGGGCAACAGAGCAAGACCATGTCTGACAACTGAAAATGAAAAAAAGATTGGGGTGTATGTAACTCCCCGCGAAGGCCCTGGTTCAATCCTCAATATCAATAAAAGAGAAAAGAAACCCCCAGAGAGGACGCCTGCCTTGCATCCTCGCGGTTCCCGGCCGGGATCTCGCGGGGCGAGGGTCCTGCTCGCTGCCGGCTCCCGGGTGTGGCGGGGAAGAGCTGCCGCCGGGGTCCGGAGGGGACTCGGGGGCAGCGGGGCCGCGACGCGCGCTGAGGGGGGACCGGCGCTCCACGGCCAGTTCTTTCTTTTTCTTTTCCTTCTTTCCTTCCTTCCTTTTTCTTCCTTTCTTTCTCCTTCCTTCCTTCCTTTCTTTTTCTTTCTTCCTTTCTCTCTCCCTTCCTTTTTTTCTTTCCTTCCTTTCCATGTTTCCTTTCCATGTTTCCTTTCCATGTTTCCTTTCCTTTCCTTTCCTCTCCTCTCCTCTCCTCTCCTCTCCTCTTCTTCCCTTCCCTCTCCTCCCCTGCCGTCCTTCCTCCCTCTCTTTCTCCTGCGCTGCTTTCCGCGCGGATTTGCCCTGTGCGGCTGTCTCCTCCCTTCCCGGACGGGTCTGCCGCTCCGTCTCCGCTCTGCTCCGCGCTGCGCCCGGCAGGGACAGGCTGCTGGAGCCAGCAGGCCCGCGCCGCCCGACCCAGCCTTCGCGAATCTGCCCGGGCCCGCGCATCACCAGGAACGCGCACACTTTTGTTTCTTGGTTTTGACTGCACAAGTTTCAAATACTTTACTCCCCAAGTTGGAGTAAAATAAAAGTAGTTTTAGAAGTCTAAATATGCAGTTAGCTATACCGGCTGTAAGACTACTGGTCCTTCTCTAATTCACATCGTTACTATTTTTGTCCCCCGATTTATGTATTTTAAGAACTGTCGACTGGAAACTTAAATTTGCCTTCATTTGTGAGCATTAATTTACTTTGTATTAGTACTTATTCCTGGAAAAATAAAATTGTTTCTTTTTTTTTTTTTTTTTGAAAGATAAAAGTCTACCCATCTCATCACTTTTTGTTCTCTCCTTTTTTGCTTTTAAAAATGTAACTTCTGTGTGGCGTTGTGGCACATGCCCGTGATCCCAGCACTCCGGAGGCTGAGGCAGGAGGATCCCTGCAAGTTCGAGGCCCGGCTGGGCTACATAAGCAAGTTCAAGGCCAGGCTGAACTACATAGCAAGACCCTATCTCAAAAAAAAAAAAAAAAAAGAAAGAAAGAAAGAAAAAGAAAAGAAAAGAAAAGAAAGAGAAAAACAGTGTAACTTCTTTGTGAATAAATCCTTTGAGTTTATAATAGTTCAGTAGGAAAGGCCCAGAAAGGCAAAATAGAAAATATAAATCAGCTGTGAACTTACCGCTCAGTGAACACTATTTCCACGTTAGTATACTTCGCTTCTTTTTTTTTTTTTTTTTTGGGTTTTTCTCCAGTACCGGGAACCGAACTCACGACCTTGCGCTTGCCAGGCAGGCGCTTTGCCACTGTGCTAAATCACGTTAGTATACTTCGCTGGTGTAGTTTTCTGCGTTTTCTCCTGTGCGCGTTGCTTCCCTAGTCCCCCGCACAGACTTTACTGTTACTCAATATGTTGTAAATATTTTCTCACATAAGTGAATATTCTTCCACTAAACTATAATGTCTGTTTCACAGTGTGTAAAAAAAAAAAATTTTTTTTTTTTTTACTTTTTGAGGGTCTCGCTATGTGTTTCAGGCTGGCCTAGAGCTCACTTTGTAGTCCATGCTGGCCTCGAACTCGCAACGATCCACCTGCCTCAGCCTCCCGAGTGCTGGGATTACAGGCGTGCACCACCATGCCTGGCTCACAGTGTGTAAAATTTATGTAAATAATTAATCTTTATAGAATATTTCCCACTTTATTGCTATTTTAAATAACTTGGGCCAAGATTATATTTGAATCTACTTAAATCCCTGATAATTTTCTTGATTTATCTTTTTTAATAAATCTTTTTGAGGGATTAGGGGTGTGCAGTATTCTGGGTTTGAATTCTAGCACTGAAAAAAAAAACAAAAACAAAATTGTGATGTTTCTGTTTGCAAAATATGCAAGCTACAGTCCCTGTTTGACCACAGATTTTTCTCCTTCTTTTTTCTTTTTTTTTTTTTTTACTTTAAGAGGCAGAATCTTATTCTGTTGACCAGGTTGGCCACAAGCTTCTGGGCTCCAGTGATCCTCCTGCCTGAGTTTTCCAAGCTGTTGGGACTCTAAGGCACACACTTAACTGGCAGATGGGCTTTTAAGCCAACAAAAAAAGTGTCACTGCAAGTCAAATCTTGTCATCGCTTCTTGGGACGCATTTGTAGGGATTTTTCCCCCTAAGAGATGGCAGTTTACAATCAAACAGAACATGAACAGGAAGTCGCTGAGAAACCCTCAGGGTTTCTCTCCATCAGGGGCCGCGGGTCTCTTCCTAACAAGCTGCTACCTTGAATGGAGGAGCTGAGTTTCCTGGCATTGCCGTCTGTATCACAGTTACCTCTCTGTACAGACGTTCTGCCCAACTGTAGACTGTGAACTACGTAAGGCTGGGGGTGGTCTCTGTCTCATTCACAGGTGCACCCTTATGTTTCCACACATAGTAGGTGTGCTCCTGTATTTGCTACATGAACCCATAAACATCCTATTTCTTTATGGGTTGGGAGTTTTGTTTGGTGCTTTGTTTGTTTGTTTTGAGACAAGGTCTCCTTATGTAGTTCAGGCTGCCTTCCTTAAACTCATTATGTAGCCAATGCTAGCCTCAAACTCAGAGTGATCCTCCTGCCTCAGTCTCATGAATGCTGGGATTACAGGCATTCACCACCACATCCACCTAGTTCTTTCTTTGTCTTTCTTTCTTTCTTTCTTTCCTTCCTTCCTTCCTTCCTTCCTTCCTTCCTTCCTTCCTTCCTTCCTTCCTTCCCTCTTTCATGTTTTGAGGTCAGGCTGGCCTTGAATTTACTTTGTAGCCCAGGCTGGCCTCGAACTCACAGTAATCCTCTTGCATCAGCCTCCCAAGTTCTGGGATTACAGGCATGTGCCACCGCATCCAGCCTGTACTTCTATTGTAAAATGATCCGGTTGCAATAGTTGGCTTTAAAAAGATTTTATCTGTCCATCTTTTCTTTATATAGTATTAGAAAAACTGAATTTCTTCGGGTATCTACACTTAGACTATAGATTTATAAAAATATGTTGGATTTAAAAATCAATACTTGATTTAACATTAAGTGCCAAAACGTATGTATTTTTGTGGCTCTGGGGATCAAACCTAGGGACCTTCTGCGGCAGGAGGAGCACCATGAGTTCGAGGCCAGCCTGGACTACACAGTGAAAGATCTTGTCTCCAAAAAACTAGAAAAATTAAATTTTTCTTTTTTTACATAGGGCCTGCACAAGCTAACCCATTCACTCTACCTCTACCACTAAGCTAAATTCCCAGCCACTAAATGCAAGTTTTATCAAATTTTAGGTGTAAATATATTTACTTTTTGGAAAAACCACCACTTCCGCCTAAGCCCGTCGGGGAGCCCGCACTTAAGCGGATTTCTTCTGCCCCTGCGCGTCTCGCTGGGTTGTCACAATGGCTCAGTGCCTCTGTCCCTCCCTACACCCGCGCCGCGGGCGATGACAGGCCGCATAAGCACTGGGCTCGTCACGCTGGGAGGCCGTCAAGTGGGATTATCACTCCGCCTGCGACACTGCCCTCCCTTCAGCTACAGTCAGGCCACGCTGGGAGATTCCGGGTTCGCGGAGGGCAGACGGGTTGTAAAGATGTCGTTGTTCGCCCGATGGAGCTAACTGTGCCGCAACTTGCCCTCCTAGCGCCTCTCCGGATGGCAGCTCACAAAGTGCCCGGACCGTCTGGGGCCAACGCGATCTACTACCTGGTTGTGGGAGTCACCGTCAGCGCCGGCGGATATTACGTGAGTGATCGGGTAACCGTGGCGCTCAGGATTCCTAGTTTTTACCACCTAGGTAAAACTCAAAATGATACTAAGAGTAGGACATAAGCACCGGGCACGGTGACGCACGCCTGTAAGCCCAGCACTCGGGAGGAGCTCTTCGAGTCTGAGGCCAGCCTGGGCTCCGTCGTGAGCCCAGGCCCAGCCTAAACCACCTAGCAAGACCCTGTCTCAAAAGGAAAAAAAAAACGCAAAATAAAAACAAATAAACTCCCCAAAACATTGGGGCATAAAATTAAGTGAACATAGAAACTGGTTTAAGTGTCACTAAGCATGCATGCACATTTGAAAAGTACCTTTGCAGTCATTAGACATGTATGGCTTTCATAAGAATGTATGAACTAGACTACTCTGAAGATTTTCCAAGTATAGATAGTATTTCTCAATACCCTGAATATGGATGACTTTCAGTAAAGACAGTGTGGTTATAAATACTGGTAATAGCTGACATTTGAATATCTACCACTTGTCTGACTTATGAATCCTTTAATCATTGCAACTATTCTATAAAGTACGTAGTATAATTCATACTTGAGCTGGGGGTGTAGCTCAGTGGCATAGCTCCTGCCTGGTAAGTGTAAGGCCCTAAGTTCGATTCCTGGTACAAAAAAAAATTCATACTTGACAAGAACTGTTTTGGAAGACTTACTAACTTTATCTTTTTTTTTTTTTTTTTTCAGATAGAGTTGCTGTGTAGTTCAGGGTGGTCTTGAACTCACTATGTAGTCCAGGCTGGCCTTAGACTCTCAGGGATCCTCCTGCCTCAGCCTCCCAAGCACTGGGATTATAGGCTTGTGCCATCATGCCTGGCCTTTTGTGATATTTTTATTTATGTTTATTTTACTTTATTGCAGGGCTGGGGATTGAACCCAAGCCTCATGTACTGGGCAAGCTCTCTACCACTGAGTTAATGTGCTCTAGGCTGCCCATTTTTCTATAAATATACTGCTTCTCTCAAAAATAACAGTTTACTGTTTTCAGAGCTGATGAATCCTGCTGGGGTATAGCTCTGTGGCTGAGGGCTTGCCTGGCTTGTGTGAGGCCCTGGGTTCAATCCTCAGGACCAGAAAAAAGAGAACATACAAAAAAATGCCTACATTTTCTCGCATCTTGCTTTACTGCTGTACATTTTGTCACCATTATAAGCTGACGTTGATACGTAATCACTACCTAAAGGCCAGAGACTACCTAAGGTTCACTCTGCTCGGTGCATTCCATTGGCTTTGACAAATACATAGTGACAGGTGCCCACCTGACTGCAAGCAGAGCACTTTCCCTTCTTATTCCTTTGGTTTTTGTTTTTTTCCATTACCGGGAATTGAACTCACAACCTCGCGCTTGCCAGGCAGGCGCTGTGCCGCTGAGCTAAATCCCCAGCCCCACACTTTCCCTTCTTTAAAAATTCCGTTTATTGTCCCTTCCTCCTTTCTCCCGATCCTTTTACTCTTTCGTTTTGCGTCTCATATTTTTACATAGTTTAATTATTTTTAAAAGGTCATATATATTTTTTTTAATTCAAATAAAAAAGCTAGGAGTATCTTTTCCTTTCCAGGTACCCGCTGCAGGCCAGAGCCTTTTTTGTGTGACCAGGGTGATGCCCAGGGCCTCCTCAGCTTGGACATGTGCTCTGGCCTGGGCACGCTGATTGTGTCGCTTTCATCTCAAACATCTGCCCTTGTCGTTTCCGAGACTCTTAGCCGCTTTCAGGAGGAATTACAGAATATGAAACCCTGCAAATCTATGTTGTCATTTCCGCTTGTCTCCTGCGTCCTGTGCTAAAATGCTTCTGCGTTAGATTTTTGTGACTTGATCTCATGATCCTCAGTCACCAAGAGCAGCTTATTTTTATTTCCAGGTAAAATCTTCTGCTATTAGGGTCCCTTGGAATTGGAGAGAGGCCCAGGTTAATTCAGTTTTCTGAGGGTCTGGGTATATATGAATAACACAGTGCCAGATTAGTTATAAAAATCAAGGTACACTTTGTTTTGTTTTGTTTTTTTAAGACTAGGTCTTACTATGTAGTTCAGGCTGGTCCTAAATGCACTATGTAGCCTAGGCTAGCCTTGAACTCACAGCAATCCTCCTGTCTCAGCCTCCCAAGTGCTAGGATTATAGGTGTTTGCCACCACGCCTGGCCACTGCTACATTTTAAATACTTATAATTAACAAATACTATCATTTGTAAATAACTTCCCCAATCTAAATTTAGACTCTTCTGGTAGGTCTTTTTTTGTTTTCTTTGCTTGGTTTTGTGAGACAGGTTCTTGTACGTCAGGCTGGCCTTGAACTCACTGTGTAGCCCAGGCTGGCCTTGATCTCATGGCCATCCTCCTGCCTCAGCCTCCCTAGTGCTAGGATTACAGGCGTGCACCACCACGCTTGGCATCATGTTGTTTTTCAAGCAACCTTTGGTTGTCGGGTCGTCTTGTTGCTTTTTATGAATAATCCTAGCATACCTGAGACAGCTTCATTAGGATCTAGCAATATACCATCTCCGAAGACTTTTGTAAAATCTTTTTATTATGAGAGCATTGAGGTTCACGTGCAGACCTTCATTTTCCCAAATGATAGTATCTTTTATAACTCTAATACAATATCAGGGCCAGGAAACCAGCACCAATACAACCCCGTGGATCTTATTCAGATTCGTCTAGTTTAACACCTCATTTACGTGAATGTTTGTATGTAACTCCTTGCGGTTTTGTCAAGGCTCGAGTCAGGTACAAGTATTTGCCCCCACTGTCAAAGATAGGGGACAGCCTCATCTCCACAGCTACCCTTTGTGCTGTCCTTTTATTTTTTTAAGTTGTTCTCTGAATTAATTTTTTTGGATTAATTTTTTTACTTTAATTTGTTAGTGTGTATTTGTGATAATTACTGTGCTGCCCTTTTACAATTCCACCCCCTTTCTTCCTGTCCTTCCTTTTCTGCTAACCCCTGGCAATCTGTTCTCTATCTCTATATTTTTGTCGTTTCAAGAGCATTCCATACATGGAAGCACAGGTCTGTAATCTTTTTAGCTGAGCCTTTTTCATTCAGCTTAATTACCTGGAAGTACACCAGAATTGCTGCCTGCCTCTACTGCTGTTTCCTTTTCATTGCTGAGTAGTATTTCACATTTTGCATGTTTAGCGGAAACCTTTGGTTTACCATTCATCAACTGTAGATCATTCATTGTAGACACAGCTGGTTTACCATGCATCCCTCCTACACCATCTGAGCGGATTCTAGTTCTTTGGCTATTACAGATGATGCTACCATGGAAATTTGTGTGCAGGGTTTTGTGTGACCCTGGATTTACATTTCCCTAGGATAAATACTGAAGGATATTTGTAAATACCTGTCAGGTTATTTTATTTTGCTTTTTTGTCTTTTTGAGACAGGATCTTGCTATGCAGTTCAGGCTGGTCTTGGGCTCACTTTGTAGCCCAAGCTGGCCTCAAACTCTCAACGATCCTCCTGCCTCAGCCTCCTGAGTGCTGGCATTACAGTGATGCGCCGCCATGTCCAGCTTGTCAGGTTATTTTGATCCTAGCTAAATTTATTTTTTTCTTCTGTCTTCATCTTTTTATTTATAACCCATGTTTTCAGTTGTCTTTGACGCATATTTGAACATGTTTCTTTCCCTGTTTCAGCATGATACTTGGTGGCGCAAGTTTCCAAAGAGGAAGTAAAAAAGTAAATGCTGTGCTTGGGTTTCTCTTCTTCACCCGCTGGAGTCAGGATTGAAACTCACACCGATGAATTCATGGGAAATTGTATATGACTTTGGACTTGGCATGATGAGACTTAGAGCTCAAGGAGTAAAGCTGCGTACTTGTGGGTTTTTTTTCAGACGTACAAGGCAGTCGTATCCGAACAAGCCAAGCACACGGAATATGTAACGCATTTTAAAGAAGAAACGAAAGCAGAGTTACAGCCACTTCAAGGTAAAGTAAACTCCTTAATTATTTTATTTTATCTCATTTTCGAGGCACTAATTCCCATCATCTTAATCTAGGCACCAGCACTATTTGCTTTTGCCTGCGTTACTAACATAACCCAGGACTCTGGGTCACACTTCACTGGGGGCAGAAAAGCCCGAGCAAAACCTAAAGAACAGTGTTCTACCCTTCGGATGAGTGCGTCTGATAAATGAACGCGTTTTACTTTCATCCTGCTGACCAGCGGCTTTGACTTCTTTGTATGGAAATAATTGTTCTTCCCCTACTCAGACATGTATTCATGCAGGCATAATTTTAGTAACTATTTTAGTAACTCTCTCAGCCGCTTGGCCTTTTATTTCCCTCGTTATTATTTTTTTAAATCATAAAACTAATTTTTGTGTCCGTTTTGGGTAAGATCACCCTCCGTCTTTGCGCAGAGCAAACTGGTAGACTCAGTTGCGTAGTGCCAGCGCTGCGGTTGATTTAGAATGGCTGCCGTGGGGACAGAAACTACATTTTCACAGTGACGCCTGTTCTTTCTTAAACTGCTTACTTTAAACCATACTTTTTTCCATCCTAATTGTAATAACATTATTATTATCAATTACTATGATCTCTGTGTAGAACACATATTAGCGGCTCACGAATCAGTTTTTTAACTGTTTAATCACGACAACAATAAGAAACAATATCAGGGGCTGGGGATTTAGCTCAGCGGCAAAGCGCCTGCCTGGCAAGTGCAAGGTCGTGAGTTCGGTTCCCGGTACCGGAGAAAAACCAAAAA